GCGTTGTTGCACCGTCCGCCACAAGTGACGCTAGCGACCGAAAACATTTTCAGAATGAAGGAGAGAAAGGGTGTGGCAGCTGTTTTTCTTCTCATGCGGCAGGCATCTTCTTAGAGGAGGCGTTGGCACAATTCACGCAAGTTTTACGCGCGTTAATGTTAATTTTTACGACCGTTATCGAGATCGGCGCTTTGTTTTGCTCGCACGTGAAGGTGTGATACTTCCTTAGCCCATGGACACTCCTTCTGGATACCGCTCGCCCACTGGGCAAGGTTCCTTTTGGCGTTGCATAAGTAGTTGCTAGACTGGAAGGGTCAGTGTTGCCAAATGCCGCTAAATTTGACTGCAAAAGTTTTTTTTTGTAGTTGTGGCTTCTTCGTGAGAATTTGGTGCCATCCGCGGTGCATTTCGTGAACGAGCGACGCTGGCCGTTTTAATTAACGGAATGAACCGCGCCTAGCAGTAGTCGAGCGTGGCGCTGCTGTGCAATTAAGAGGCCGTTTTAATTAGTGGATTGAACCGCACATTACAGAATTCGTTTTATTTACGGAATGAACCGCGCCTAGCAGAAGTCGACCGCAGCGCTGCTACGCAATTAAGAGGCCAATTTAATTAACGGAATGAACCGCGCCTAGCAGAAGTCGAGGCGCGTTCTCTTGCTGTGTGCGCAGCTGTGCGAATAAGATATCGCGTCTCAGTATTAGGGATGACGGGAAAAACTGAATAGAGTCGCAGGAGGTGATGCGCTGCCCCCCTCCCCCCTTACTTTTTTTTTCTCAGCTGATTGTGTCGCGTCGACCGCGCGCTACGAGGGGACGAAGCTGATGACAACAAGGGTGAAAAAAATTTCAAAAGAAGTAGTATGCCCACAATTACAGACGAACAGTGTGCAAGGCTCATTTTCACAACAAAGTGGGAAGGGCTGAGAAAAGGTTCCTGGTAGTCTCACAGCCCAGATGGCATCCCATTAGCTGAGAAAGACATTAGTCCGAAGTTCTAAGCAGGCTTTGAGAGAGGCAGTGAGCAAATAATGATCGATGGTGAAGTGCCCAGGAGGAAACTAGCAGGATGAGCTGATCTATAAAGAAAGGGGGAAAAAGCGACATAAATAAACAACTACCGTCCTATAACAGTGACATCAGTGGTCTACAGGCTGGCGATGCAAATTATAAAGGAAAGACTGCAGGCGTGGATAGAGGATGAGGGGGTGCTGGGGGAACTGCAGAATGGGTTTCGGAAACACAGGAGGTTGGAAGACAATCCGTTCTCACTGACGCAGTGCATCGAAATAGCAGAAAAGGAACACAGGCCCCTGTGGCTAGCATTTTTGGATATCAAGGGAGCGTACGATAGCGTGGTTCAAGAGGAATTGTGGGGAATACTGGACACACTAGGCGTGGAACATGTAGTCACTAATCTTTTTAAAGGGTATCTGCAAAGGTAACAAGGTAGTTATAAAGTGGGAAAAACAGGTATCCAAGCCTGCAGAGGTAAAACGGGGGCTTAGGCAGGGGTGCCCCCTGTCACCCTTATTATTCATGATGTACCTACAAGGATTAGAGGCAAAATTAGAGGGAAGTGGACTGGGCTTCAACCTCTCTTTAGTCAAACAAGGAAAACTTATTGATCAGGCACTACCAGCATTAATGTACGCAGATGATATAGTGCTAATGGCCAACAACAAGGAAGATTTGCAGAGATTGATGGACATCTGCGGTAATGAGGGAGATAGGTTAGATTTTAGATTCAATAAGGAAAAATCAGCAGTCATGATTTTCAATGACAACGAAGGTAGTGAGCTTAGAATACAGGAGGTCACGCTAGAGATAACAGATAAATACAAATATCTGGGCGCGTGGATAAGCAATGGGACCGAGTATCTGAGGGAACACGAAATATACGTGACGACTAAGGTAACAGGAATGCAGCAGTCATGAAAAATAGGGCACTGTGGAATTACAATAGGTATGATGTTGTGAGAGGAATATGGAAAGGGGTCATGGTTCCTGGGCTGACGTTCGGCAATGCGGTCTTGTGCATGAGATCAGAAGTTCAAGCAAGATTAGAAATTAAGCAACGTGGAATAGGTAGGCTTGCTTTAGGAGCTCACGGGAATACACCAAATCAGGGAGTACAAGGTGATATGGGATGGACATCATTTGAGGGCAGGGAAGCTAGCAGCAAGATAAAATTTGAGAAACGATTGAGAGAAATGGGGGAAGAGCGTTGGGCTAGGAAGGTTTTCAGCTACTTGTACATGAAGAATGTCGATACAAAATGGAAAAAGCGAACCAGGAAGTTGACTGGTAAATACTTAGAAAACAGCAGGTGGCCAAACCAAAAAGAACTATCGGTTAAGAAGAAAGTGAAGGAAACGGAGACTGACATGTGGAGAATGGGCATGATTAAGAAGTCCGCACTAGAGATCTATCGAACTTTTAAGCAGGAAATTGCCAAGGAAAGGATCTATGATAATACTCGGGGTAGTTCTCTACTGTTTGAGGCCAGGACGGGAGTACTGCGAACCAAGACATATCGGGCCAAATACGAAAGGGTAGACACAGTATGCAGTGCGTGTGGAGAGGAAGAAGTAAGTACCGAACACTTGATAATGTTCTGTAAAGGGCTTCACCCTATAGTTCAGGATGATGGCACAGAATTTTTCAAAGCAGGGGGGTTTAGGGACCGGGAGGGCAAAATAAACTTTAAGCGGGTAGACTTAACCAGAAGGAGGTTATCTGATTGGTGGCTAAAGTCAAGACACGAGTGAAAATTAAACTCTTCACTGCAAAGTACGAATCCTCAACTCACTTTTTAAGGAAAAAAAAATAAATATAGTTTTTGGTTCATTAGGTGTTACGGCTTGGTGGCGCTAGCCACCGCCCGATCTAAAGGGTACAGCCATATCCATCCATCCATCTATCCATCCATCCATAATCACGGCAGCGGGCGGTACCAGCTAAGCGTTTTTCATCTGCGGCCCATAGAGGCGCGTCAGTCGAGAATTGTTTGAGACCTGCAGCTGTGCACCACTGTTTCTGAGGCTATGCAAAGTGTTGCGTTGTTGCACCGTCCACCACAAGTGACGCTAGCGACCGAGAACATTTTCAGAATGAAGGAGAGAAAGGGTGTGGCAGCTGTTTTTTTTCTCGTGCGGCAGGCATCATCTTAGAGAAGGCGTTGGCACAATTCACGCAAGTTTTACGCGCGTTAATGTTAATTTTTACGACCGTTATCGAGATTGGCGCTTTGTTTTGCTCGCACATGAAGGTGTGATACTTCCTTAGCCCATGGACACTCCTTCTGGATACCGCCCCGCCGCGGTGGTCTAGTGGCTAAGGTACTCGGCTGCTGACCCGCAGGGCGCGGGTTCGAATCCCGGCTGCGGCGGCTGCATTTCCGATGGAGGCGGAAATGTTGTAGGCCCGTGTGCTCAGATTTGGGTGCACGTTAAAGAACCCCAGGTGGTCTAAATTTCCGGAGCCCTCCACTACGGCGTCTCTCATAATCATATAGTGGTTTTGGGACGTTAAACCCCACATATCAATCAATCAATCCTTCTGGATACCGCTCGCCCACTGCTGCAGGTGGTCATCAGTAACATGCGTGCGTCGAAGAAATTTTAGATTGAACTCTGTGCTTTATATATGTCACACGCTGCGTTTTCGATAGGTATCGAGTTATATTGATCGTTCACTTGCGCTAGATGCGGCATCGAGCGAGTGTTGAACGACTTGACTGGCTCGATACCGATCATGCATGCACGCGCGGACACCGCAGCTAAAGAGCTGCAGCAAATTCAGATGTACCGAGTAATGAAGTTAAATGATATGACACAGGAGGTTTAATTTGTCGACTCGTATGTATTAGCCGCTAGTTGGCATGACAAAAACAAGCGATGTACTATCGGCGTCCAATGAAACCCGAACAGCGGCAAGCCTTCGCCGTCCACTTAACACCACGGACAGGCAGCTGCCGAACAAAATTATGTGCAGTTACTACATTTATTTTCTGCAATACAGAAAATTTCTTGATTTAAGTAGTGATAAGCATTTAGGAAGGAAAAGTAATGCAGTGTCGTGCTACATGTACTCTCAATTGAAAGACCCTGGGGCACCCTCTTAAAGGGGCCCTGCAACACTTTTCCAAGTATACATGTAATGGATTCACTTAAGGAGCTATTGCCTAACGAATTCACCGCCACAAAAGAATTTTAAAATCCATACAGTAGAAGCGAAGTTACAAAGCTTTGTCTTACGCGAGAATTACATTCTCTTCTCTTGTCTATACGAATCTGGAAGCCAAAGAGGAAGGGATGGCACGAGCGAAAAAAATACATCACACATCTTCGTTATCGTGAGCCGTTAAACCCCACAAATCAATCAATCGTTATCTTGAGCACGTCCTTTTCTTCCTTCCAGTGCGTGGCTTTTCAGTGTGACCACGCTCGCGTAGACAGGTCACGTCCTCTCGTGGCTGCCCCAGAAACGATCAAGCGCATCAGGCTGAAATCAGCCACAAGCTAATACTGTGACGCAGTGATTTTTAAGCCTGTAGTGTCATTTGCGAGAGATGATAAAGCCGATTTTCAGCCGACTCAAGAACTTATGGTAAATTCCAGGCAGCATGCTGTGCAACGATATTTGGCATGCATTTACTAGGGAGTCTCAACTAATGATCAGCAGCGTTTTTTGACCATGTTCTAAAGTACTGCAGGACCCCTTTAAAGTAATATACAGGCTGCAGGGACACACGCAGCATTCAACTCCTCTCATACAGTGCATTGCCTCTCGGCAACCATTGTGTCGACATGGCAAATAGGAAAAAAGAAAAAAATTTCTGAAACATGCATAGCATTTTATTTACACTCTAGTTGCTGCTATGATGTTTTTGTACCTATTTTGTGGGAAGACTGACATTTTATGCATGCACATGGTGCTGAACACAATAGCAATATAGTGCTAACAATGTCCAACTTATATCGAAAACAATACTACAGCTAGACTGTAATCAATCAACAAACTTTATTTGGGCAAATACAGCTGTTTCTTTTGGGCAGAGCACGGAAAAAAGATTATCCCCCGTCCCGTCCTACCCTTAGTCGACGATGATGGCGATTGCTCAGGTGACTGCACGAAGTACTTGGAGCCGGGCGGCATCTTCGGCTTGGGAAAATAAAATAAATGGTGTAATATTAAGGGACAAGTCACTCACGGAATAGTTCTTTGCGAAGACATCTTGTTCATAACGAGAAGAGATTGCTGCTCGTTAAGAATAACAGGCTTGGTTACAAGAGAAGGCAAGCATGGAAGGGTACGAAAAAAGTAAGTTGTCTGGTGAGATTAGGATGGTTGCAGAAATAGCGTGGTCACAGTGAAAAGAAGACCAGGTAACTGGTCAAACATGAAAGGCCTTTGCCGTGCAGTGGGCCTAGTCAGATGATGACAAATGTGTGTGTTCACATAGTCCTGCAGTTCCCATACAGCAATTTTGTGTACAGAGGCGTCCACTTCCACCTTGAACAGCACACCACGTGGCCAGAGCTCTGCGGAGCACCACTAATAGGCGCTTGCCAAACTGAAGTACAAGCACAGTGACAGTTGTAGGTGAGGCCTCCACTGCGTTGTCCACTGAATCATAGCAGCTCCTCTGAATTGCGCTTGCTTTACTGTGATGGTGCAGCAAAACCTCATTAATTTGAAGTCGCTGGGACCGTGAAAAATCTTCTAATTGAGGGGGTTTTCGAATTAATAGAATGTACAAAAAATGTGGAATGCAAGTAGCTTGAAATTATTCACAAATAATTAGAACTGGTCCTTTGCTGTGCCGGCTAGATTGTGACCCCAAGGGTTATGTTATAAGGAGAAAAAAAGCACGTTTTGGTTAACATTAACAGAGTAAATGCTTCGAACAGGTGCACAAAGGCCAGAGCAGTCAGCAAGGCTATTTGACTGTAGGCACGATCTACAGCCAGACTGTGAATCACATACACAAAGTGGACAGAGAACTCTGCAAAACGGAGGCAATACAAATGTTTATGTGACTAACATGGCGCATCTGATTCATGCAAATGCTGAACATGCGATTTATCTACCATGCATGTCTGACATTCTACAGTTGGATACAACTTTAGAAGCACTTCGTCATCAAAGGTGGATGCACACAAGTTTGCACCTATAAACACTCAACCGCATGTGCGCGATTTTCTAGCAACAGCGACCACCCACAGAATTCGCTGTCGTGGAGGCTTATTCTTCACCACCGCTCGTCACGCGTTTATGGAAAACTAGATTCGATTGCCTGTCACCCGGAAGCCAGTGTGGCGATTTCCGGCAACATGGCTGCGCCCCAGGTTCTCGCTTCACTTGCAATTCACTCTCGATGCTTGTTATCCATACGTACTTCAAGAAATGCAAGGTATTGACCACATTGATTACATTTGCATCTCACACGGAGAGTGAGAGGTATTCTGTCGTAAATATCATTATCGAAGGCTTGTTTTGATGTTTTGACGGTAGCTTGTGACAATTATGGTCACTTGCTGCAATGTGAAATCGTCATGCTAACTGCGTCTTAGCATATGCTTCTGGGCACCCTGTAACTGTGAAACCAAAGATTGCGAAAAAAAGAAAGTTGTGAAATGCTTTCGTGGGTTCCTTATGCCACACAAGATAGTAATAAATTTGGCATGCTGTCAGTGACCAACTTTTCAACTTGTATTCACAATTTATGGGTATGCACGCGATAGTTTTCATTCAAGCAACAATGACATTTTGTCGCCAACATGCGATTGCAACCGTTGCGACGAAGCAAGTTGGTCGCTGTCGCTAGAAAATCGCATGCATGCAGTTGGGCCTTTAGTGGCAACTCCAGACGTTAAGAACCGGACAGCTCGTGACCCTTCTTTCAAAGAGCATAACTGAGTGCATAAGCCGGACTATTTTTTTAGCCATGGAGGCAACATACCTTTTTAAAGCAATCACAGAGTGCCCCGCAGGCGTATAGAGCACTATGGGAGCAGCGTATATGCCAAGCAAGCCGGCTGTTCTGCTGCCTTTTGCTCGTTGGCACCGCACGAGTATGGCGCAAGCACAAAACGAAAAGAACACGTTGCCGCTTGTTGATTATTGAATCCTGAATAGTAGATATGTCCAAATACACCTCCATGTATCTGAGGCATAAAATGTGAAATGAATAATGCAGTTAGTGTAGATATAACCGAGCAGATGTACATCGAATGTAGCAGCTGAGCAGCATGCGAGCTGTTTCATCCCGGTAAACGTAGTAAAACCGTGCTATTGTGAGAAATGTGAGCTGATACACTCAATTCATACTTATTGAACAGTTCACAAGGCACTATAGAATTTAATACAATCGCAGTTTTATTGGGCCGCTAATGCCAATAGCAGAGGAGTGTTTCAGAATTTTAAATTTTATTGACAATTCAAGTGCTGTCATAAAATGAACACATTTTGAACATGTTTAAAATGAAGAGATCGATATAGAATTCACTTGCGAGATACCTTGCCCCCATAATTTGCGGTGTCCAACTACAGGAAATATTTGCTGCCACTAAATTCTGCATTCAGCGAAACCGATGTTACATTTTGCGTCGACGTTCTAGAATATTGTTCAATAGAATATAATGATGATGTACTCACGATCGGCACAGAAGAAAAAAAAATGAAAAAAAGAAAACTTGCACACATTACATGAGAAATAGTTTCCAGCTGCAAATCGATTGTCTCAAGGAGGTACAGTATCTCGTGCATCATATAGTGTCAGCTTGCTAACAACTCATTTGCATAGCAAAAAAACAAAAAATAAAGAAAACAAAGAAGAATACAAACATCCTCAAACTGTGAACAAACTAAAAATATTGAAGTATTCCAGAAGGCTAGAAAGTGATATGGGGTGAGGATTGTGTTTTCGCTACTTCGTCACATTTGTTCCATAATGCACAGAAGGTCATAGGGTTCTGGAGTGGGCAGAGAAAAATACTATCAGAAGCATGACAATTGTGGTGCAGAAGTTGCTAACCGAATTTCTCTTTATTGTGTTCATATACACACATTGGCCAGACTGGTTGATTGATATTTGGGGCTTAGCGTCCTAAAAGCAACATATGATTATGAGAGACGCAGTAGTGGGGGGCTCCAAAAATTTCAGCCACTTGGGGTTCTTTAACATGCACCCAAATCTGAAACACAAAGCATTTTCGCCTCCATTGAAAATGCAGCCGCCAAAGCCAGGATTCAATCCCACGAACTGCGGGTCAGCAACCGAGTGCCCTGGCAACACTAGATCACCGCGGCGGGGCTTGGCCAGACTAGTTAATGTATCAACACACACCTCAGAGAGCGTTGAAATTCATTGAATGGAGCAGCGTCAGTGATGCAAATGTAATTTGATCATAAAAGGCACGATAATTTTACACCGTCACCCTACCCAGACCATGTGAAAAATTTCGGAGGCATATCATAAAGAATATCGCACTTCACATAAGACAACCTTCTATATGATTACAACTCAAGAAATTTCATTAGTCCACTATGAACACAAGCCTTGGTTGTTTGCGTTTTTGTGCCCTTTCGCAACATGCCCGATCAGCCCCATTTTCATATATATCTTTTTTAACACGTGCTACAACCATTCAGTTGTGAGTGAGCATTTGTGGTGGATATATATTTCTTTCCTTATCTAACTTCTGTCTTTTTGCCTTGTAAGTTTGATTCCAACCTACAGTTACAGTGCCAAGAACGTTGGTACGTGCATATAGCTTTTTTGGCAGCTGCATATAGTGACGTGCATGCAATCCCACAGAATCTTAGTCAACTTCCAGTGATTATTTAGCGCACTCTTTAAATACCAGAACCTCAAAATTTATTCCTCAAGATAATGCATCTTCATAGAAGCTTTCAACTGAAGCGTCATCATGGCTGGATGTAGGCGCGTAAGCCTGTACTACCTTCATCTAGTATCTTTTATTCAGTTTAATTACGATACCTACCACCCTTTCATTAATGCTATAGTATTCTTCTATGTTGCCAGCTATGTTTCTGTGAATTAGGAACCACACTCCCAGTTTTCTTCTGTCTGCCAAGCCCCGATAGCAAAGGAGGTGCCCATTCTGTAGCACCGTAAAGGCCTCATCTGTCCTCCTAACTACACTGAGCCCTATTATATCTCATTTAACACCCTCTAGCTCCTCCAATAGTACAGCTAGACTTCCCTCACTAGATAAGGTTCTAGCGTTAAACGTTGCCAAGTTTAGGTTCCAATGGCCGCCTGTCCGGATCCAGAGATTCTTAGCACCCTCTGCTGCGTTGCAGATCTGACCGCCGCCGTGGTCAGTTGCTTCGCAGCTGCTCGGGACTGAGGGCCGTGAGTTATTTGACATATGCATGTGGGAGGTAGTGGCCAGATACTGTGCCAGGGTGGCTGCCACAGGTCCAGTTAATTCGGGAGGCGATCGCCGGGCTAATTCCAAGGGCCGAAGTATCGGCCCTCCGAACCGCACCACGAAAGCGTGGACAATTTAGAAGTGGTCCTTTCTGGCGCGCCAGAAAGGACCACTTCTAAAGAACAAAGAACAAGTCAGAGCCGAGAGCCCAAAGAACTAGTCAGAGCCGAGAGCCCAAAGAACTAGTCAGAGCCGAGTCAGAGCCCAAAGAACAAGTCAGAGCCGAGAGTTGATAAACAAAACAAAATTATATTCTCAATAATGGCAGATCCAAACAATACACAAGTATGCACACTCTACAATAGTTGAATACAATATGTCACCAATCAAACAATGTACTACACAGTACAATCAGCCACACTCGAAACAACGGACACAGACAACAATACGTACTACAATGCAGTCGCATGCATTGAACAACCAAGACACTTAAAGATTAAAGAGATAGAAAACCTATTCAGTCTAAAGTTCTTGGAACAAAAGTCTGGATGATACTCTTCCGAGAATCACTCACTCAAAGTCCAGCGTTGTTGTCGTTCCGCTGCCCCCGAAGTTTCTCTTCCAGGAAACCTCGCGTCTTCACTTGGCCGCTCTCCGAACTTCAAACTTCTTCGCCGGAAACACGTCGGCTTCACACTCGCAGCTGTTGCCACGCGCCTTCGCTCGATAGCGGTAGACACACACTCTTGCCTGTAGCTCGAGTCGTCACCCCTCAGGTGGAAATCCGCTTCTTCTCCTGCTTTGTCACTACGGACAAAACCTTCGCCGAATACACGGCGGAATACCCTACGCGCTCTGGCGCTAACTTCCGTCTTCTCCTGCTTTGCCACTAAGGACAAAACCTTCACAGACAGACGCGGCGGGATACCCTACGCACTCTGGGGTTAACTTCCTTCTTCTGCTGATCTCTCATCTCGGCTGCTCGATTACATACCTTCCGCGCGAGATTCCAGAAAGTTCTCATCATTTCGTCGGCGCGATACGCAGCAAAGGCTGGGGAGAGGGCGAGACGATACGGGGGCCGTCCGCGACGGATGACTCAACCCGGCATCACCACACCCCTTTCCATCGAGAAATTTCGAGGGCTTGCTCGGCCGCTGATGTAGGGTGAGGAGGTTCGTCGGCGAACCCACGCTTCCGAGGGGAGAAGGACGCGCGCCCGGGGAGTCTTTGGATGCTTGTTTTCTTTTTTTTTTTACCGTTGACCTCTCAGCGCCTCGTCGCGAGAATTTGGCGGCGCGGCCGTTTTTGAGCGCTCGTTTTGTGACAGTGGCCAATCCTTCTCTGGTGAGGGAGTGCGTTCCCGGCGGTGGCTACCGGTGAGGCCGCACCCCAGACATGCAGTTCCATCACCACGAGGAATTTCTTTTTTTATCCGGTTGGAAGCTGCGCGGCACCGAGATTTGAGCCACGGACCTTTTGCATGCGAGGCGGATGCTCTAACCACTACGCCACCGCCGCAATGAGTAAGGTAAAAACACAGTATACTATAGTGATGGCCGACTTTAATGCAAAGGTAGGGAAAAAGCAGGCTGGAGACCAGGCAGTAGGAGATTATGGCATCGGTACTAGAAACCCCAGAGGAAAGCTACTAGTAGAATTCGCAGAACGCAACAATTTACGGATTTTGAATACCTTCTACCAAAAACGAGAAAACCGCAAGTGGACATGGAGGAGCCCTAATGGCGAAAATACGAATGAAATGAACTTTATAATAAGTGCACACCTAGGAATTGTGCAGGATGTGGAAGTGGTTGGCAAGGTACGATGCAGTGACCATATCATAGAATGGTACGGTATCGAATTCGCCTAGACTTGAAGAAGGAACGACAGAAACTGATACGCAAAAAGCCAATCAATGAGATAACACTGAGAGGAAAAGTACAGGAATTCAGAGTGTCGCTTCAGAACAGGTACTCGGCTCAGTGAAAAAACCAACCTTAGCGCAGATACAATGAATGATAATCTGATGAGTATCATTACGGAGTGTGCAGTGGAAGTTAGAGGCAGGGTAGTTAGACAGGAGACTGGCAAGCTTTCCCAGGAAACGAAGAATCTAATTAACAAGCATCAAATCTTGAAAGTCTCAAGTACAACAGACAAAATAGAACTGGCAGAGCTTTCGAAGTTGATTAATAGACGTAAGGTAAGCGATGTAAGAAGGTATAACATGGAGAGAATTGAACACGCTCTGAAAAACGGAGGAAGCGTCAAAGCAGTGAAGAGGAAACTTGGGATAGGCAAAAGTCGGATGTATGCACTAAGGTACAAAGAAGGCAAAATAACTACCAGTATTAGTTACCCTGGCACCTCTGAGCCGCTCAGCTGGCCCAGGTGGAAGTTACAGAGGCCATCACACCTAAGCACAGAAGTTATTGAGTGAATCATCCACTAACATGTCACCCCTTGCCAAGTTCACAAAGAGGTGACATGGCGCAAATTCAAAGTTGAAACGTGACTCGCTTATGTGCTTGTCGGGACGGCAGCTGTGGCGTACATTTTCCCCCTGAATGCTTGCACGCCCGCTGGTGGCAGCGCTAGTGTGCTTGAAAAAGGTCTATTGGCTGCCATGCTCGAGTCATTTACGTGGGGCATATTATTATTAGGCATGAATTACTGTGCATATAAATGGCAGACCACGTACAGCAATCCGAATGGCTCATTTGCGCAGTATGAGGGCCTGTCTAGCAGGCTGCACAACAAACCAGTTTTTTTGCGAAATCCTATTGAAATGGCAAAAAGTATGCTCAATTCCACCACTATGTATTTACCTTACATTTCCACTAGGATATGGACAGTATATTCTAGGCAGTTGTCTAACTTGAAATTAATTTTGAGACGTTTCATTAATGCAGCAATATGAACACAACTTTTTATGGAAAGCTTAGGAGACATATTGAGAAATATTCATTAGCTTTCTATTGATGAATAAAAAACTTTTGCAGAGCTCCAAGATTGCAAAACCACCCAACAAACCATGTGACTATTCATTTTCAATCCTTAACTTGAGGCAAGGTGTGAGATTGGTCTCGCCGCTCTTAATGCATCTTCAAAAAACAGCACACAAGCAAACAATGGTCAAAGATGAGAACAAAGACATGTGTTTTTTTCTCTTTGTCTACTTGTACTGTTTGACGAACTTCGTTTTGTGTTTCTAGTCTCACTGATATCAGCTGTATTGGAGTGCATGCACTGCAATACGCCTAATAACCCTGATTGCTCCAAAAATTTTTTAACATGTATGAGCTTCAATTTTAACTGGTTGGCTAGCATGTGGGCAATTCTCACATTATTAGTATAAAAAATCTTGTAAATGACTCGCTCATTTCCTGTACTATGGGACGCTCACATGCTTTCGCTATTCCGGTGTGTCCTCCCAAAGAATCAAAGCGCTCGTTAAATAGTTACTAGAAGGCTACCTGCAAAAATTCATGCATCAACTTATACATCCTGTAGCAGACGGAACAAAAAGCTCAAATGCGAAACCAAACAATGTAAATAGTGCATGCTCAAGCACTTTGGTAGTGTCCCAATCTTCAAGACTCCCACCACAACCTTTGTGGTACATGTGGTGATACACCAGCACCCACTGGCACCTACGCCATAAATAATTGCCCTCTTCATATCCTTCATTGTGATGAACACAGGACCTATAGTGATCCTGAAACGTTATCGCTGCCTTTCCAACAGGTACGTTATGTACAGTGCTCAACTCGGCTGTCTATAATCACTGAACGTCGCGCGCGGAACAGCACGAGGGACATTTGGAGTCGCAAATACGCCACTTCTGAGCATGCGCGGCGCCAATGATGTGCCTGCCCTGCAGTTTCCCCCTTCTTTATCTCCGCGACCGTGATGGCTGCTTTGGCCGTCGAAGAGCTGTCAACATTACAAAATGGAAATAAAACAACCAAAAAGAACTATTCTCGCTTCGTGATATCGTATCACAGAGACAACGACTCTACTTTGTCTTTCTTTCTTGTTTTTTTTCTTTCGTTAAATCGCTCAGCGCCTTTGACGGCCAAAGCGGTTGTTGCATTCGCGGCGATAAACAGGGATCAGTATTGCGAGGCAGGCACATCACTGGCGCCGCGCATGCTAAGATGTGGCGTATTTGCGACTCCAGATGTTGCCCGTGCTGTTTCGCGCACGACGCTCCGTCGTTATAGGCAGCCGAGTTGAGCACTGTACTATCGGCATCAAATGAAACGCGAACAGCGGAGCGCGTGGCACAAGCCTTATCAATGGCTTAGCGCGCGCCGTCCATTAGTCATTGACACAGACAGGCCCGGACATCCGGTGTGGCATATCATTGCGCGATCCCCCTATAAATGTCTATAGTGCAATATTTCTGCTTGTGTTTCTAGGTATGGTAATGCTATTTGAAAGGAACAAAATAAAAAAAAAATACAGAGTGACTACTGCAGCCGAAGGCGAGTATTGCAGCACGGTTTGTCATCACGGAAGGTCTGGCAAATTCTATTTGTAGTAGACAAAACTCGGTTCACAATGCTGGCAATTTCACGCTGTTTCACTTCGTGCCGGTAAAGCGAAACAATTTCCGCTCTTTCTTCCGAAGAAACGCTCGGCATTCCCAGATTCGCTCGCAGTATTTCAAGCTGGACGGTTGTGCCCTCGCGATCTCCGGCATTAGCGTAGCTCCCGCCGACTGGTTCGCCCTCCGCGGTCTCCTGACGCCGTGCAGCTCTCGCATTGTGGCGCCCCGCCCTTGGACTGCTTCGACCGGATCCCCACTTCCCTATCTCCTTCTTTTTTCCGCTGCTTGCCTGTCTATTTCTTCATCTATTTTCCTTCTATTCTTTTTATCCCTCCTTCCCCCCCCACCCCTATAAGGCACTGCGCCGTGTCGCCTGAAGGCAGACAGAAATTAGGTGCCTTTTTCCTCTTCCTTCTAACCACTACCACCACCATTCCCAGTTAAAGTGAAGCCCTTTCCGGTCGGTCTCTGGAGGAAGGGTGCAAGTGAAGCAGCGCTGGCGAAAGAGATACGACAGTCATTTGGAAACCGCAAACCGATTACATTTCTCTTTTTGTTTTACCTTACCAACACACTGATTGCACTGCGACGCTGAAGTAAAAGCAAGAAATTGCGAGTGATACGATCAAAAGCGGTTGGCACGCCTACGATGGTCCCCCATTATCACCACACGAAAACTAGGGCAGAAACGGAGATAATAATGCACTCTATGGGGATCGCGCAGTGCTGCCAAACCAGATGTGCACGCCTGTCAATGGTGATGACTGGACGGCCAGCACAATTCTGTTCCTAATGCTTGAAACACGCGCTCCGCTGTTCGGGTTTCATTTGACGCCGATAGTACATACATTGCATTTCATCAGCAGGTTTTCACTCGTCCACTCAAGCAGATCGAAATGCAGCCAATGACTTGGCCTTCATTTTGCTACCTTCTCAACATCGCCTAACGTTCTTTCAATAAACACGGTTGGGTAATTCAGATTAATGCATAGACACGAGAGAAATTTGGTTGCAGCTCCTGCCTCATCACCTAACCGCAAGCAATGAGCAACCAGTGCGACTAAAACGTTTTTTACAAAGCTGCATGCTGACCTTAAACGTACGGTAAAGCACTTACCTCGGCGTTCAAAATGCGAACACATGGCAGGCGCTTCAGCGTAGCCGTCATCTTACGGTTAGCAAGCGCGTTTTCGTGCCTCGCGTTGCGCATCGGTGTCCTCATGGCTGTAACAACGCGGGAGCACCTTGAACACATACACCGCCGGGGCCACTTCGTGTAGGAGCTGTAAAACTTACGTCTAAAATGTAAAGGAAGAACAATCGTCAACGACTGGCACGAAGCATTCGAGAATTTCTTAATACTTACCCTGATATTGTCGCCATACCTTCTGAGGCACCCGCGTTAGCGTGGCTAAGGTCGTTGCCACCAACATAACGACGGCAAAATCCACGTGCTGGAAGCCCATTGTAGAGACTGCCTGAGTTAGGCGCACTGCGTCGAATCCCCTGAAACTGAACATGCTGATATCCACGGACGTCTTCAAAGGAGGGCGACTCCATTTCAGTTGGCTATCGCCAATCACCACACCACTCTAGCCACCATAACAACACGCAATAAAGGCATATAAAGGCATAGCAAAGTCCAACAAAAGGCCGGCGACGGTAGCGAGTTGGCTGGCTGTAAACCGACGATTCCTCGGCCTTGTCCCCAGGGACAAGACCGAGAAATCGTTCCCTAGTTGGTGTAGTACCTATCTAGGGGCAGGGAGTACGTTCCCAAGAAATCGTCACATACGTCACCCATTGTTCGCAGAGGGTGCCAAACTACGGGGATACGCTTCTATGGCGGTTCCACTTGTTTGTTGATAGAAATCACCTCCGACAGAAAAAAATATGTCGCGTTGAGGCAGAATTCCTTCAAACGGCACAGTTCGTCCGTGCTGAGGTTTTAATCTCTCTCCATGGCGGTCCGGGCAACTGAGACCGCGAGGGGTACGGGCACACTCGTGAACAGAGACACGCACGAGGCTCTCGACACTGCTGATTGTCACCTCCGACATAAGTTGAACGAATTGGGTGGTGTCACATGTCGACGCGGCGATGGCGTAGTGGAAAGAGCATCCGCCTCGCATGCAAAAGGTCCGTGGTTCAAATCCCGGTGCCGCGCAGTTCCCAACCAGATTAAAAAAAATTGCCCGCAGCTTCCCTCGGGGGAACACTGAGGAGGATGCGGAGCATATAATTGGTTAACGGGGTGTTAAAGTGCGACTTACTTGGGTCGATGGCTAAATTGGTTAACGTGGTTGTGAAATGGGGTGTTAAATTGCGACTTACTTGGGTCGATGGCTAAATTGGTTAACGTGGTTGTGAAATGGGGTGTTAAACTTGCGACTTACTTGGGTCGATGGCTAAATTGGTTAACGTGGTTGTAGGAGGGGGTGTTAAATGAGTGAACACGTACACACGTATGCGAAAGGGCGGCGCTGGTCGAAGGGACGTCGATCATTGTGTTTGTGGATTCGTTGGAATTCATTTCACCGCGACCTTGGACGTCGACGCGCCGTAAAACCAACCGACGAGCGACAACTGAGCGAGCGAGCGCCGACCTTGAGTATATATACAGCGCGACGGCGCATGCACTGTCAGCTGTCGATGTTCGAGAAGGGGAGAAGCGCAACGGCGCATGCGCGCGCGTCAGCTGCCGATGTTCTCGAAGCGTGACGACGCATGCGCGCTACATTATACAGCTAGCGAATGTTCGTGAAGAGAAGCGCACGCGGTGTGTAGAGGAGGAAGGATGCACAGATGGTGGAAGAAGGAGGAGGAAGCTTGCGGACGGCGCCGCACTACAAGCCTCGAGTATTAGATGCTCCGCATCTAAAAAAATCCGCGTGGACTGTATTAACAGGCCAGGGGTGTGGCCTCACCGGCAAACACCACCGGGAACGCACTCCCTCACCAGAGAAGGATTGGCCACCCTAGTGCAGTATCTGGCCACTACCTCCCACATGCATACGTCAAATAAATCACGGCCCTCAGTCCCCAGCAGCTGCGAAGCAACTGACCAAGGCGGCGGTCAGTTGCTTCGCAGCTGACCGCCGCCTTGCAACCGCCGCCATCTGCAACGCAGCAGAGGGTGCTAAGAATCTCTGGATCTGGACCGGCCGCCATTGGAACCTGAACTTGGCAACGTTTAATGGTAGAACCTTATCTAGTGAGGCAAGTCTAGCTGTACTATTCGAGGAGCTAGAGGGTGTTCAATGGGATATAATAGAGCTCACTGAAGCTAGGACAGATGAGGCCTTTATGGTGCTACAGAATGAGCACCTCCTTTGCTATCGGGGCTTGGCAGAGAGCGGAGAACTGGTAGTGTGGCTCCTAATTCACAGAAACATAGCTGGCAGCTTAGAGGAATACTATAGCACTAATGAAAGGGTGGTAGTTATCATAATTAAACTGAATAAAAGATACAAAATGAGGGTAGTACAGGCTTACGCGCTTACATCCAGCCATGATGACGTATCAGTTGAAAGCTTCTATGAAGATGTGGAATCGGCAATGAGTAAGGTAAAAACACAGTACACTGTAGTGATGGGAGACTTTAATGCAAAAGAAGGGAATAAGCAGGCTGGAGACCAGGCAGTAAAAGATTATGGCATCAGTACTAGAAACGCCAGAGGAGAGCTGCTAGTAGAATTCGCAGAACGCAATAATTTACGGATTTAGAACACCTTCTACCGAAAACGAGGAAACCGCAAGTGGACATGGAGGAGCCCTAATGGCGAAAATGTGAACGATATAGACTTTATAATGAGTGCACACCTAGGAATCGTGCAGGATGTTGAAGTGGTTGGCAAGGTATGATGCAGTGACCATAGAATGATACGGTCTCGAATTCGCCTAGACTTGAAGAAGGAACGACAGAAACTGATACGCAAGAAGCCAATCAATGAGCTAGCACTGAGAGGGAAAGTACAGGAATTCAGAGTGTCGATTCAGAACAGGTACTCGACTCTTAGTGAGGAAACCAACCTTAGCATTGATACAATGAATGATAATCTGACGAGTATCATTACGGAGTGTGCAGTGGAAGTTGGAGGCAGGGTGGTTAGACAGGACACTGGCAAGCTTTCCCAGGAGACGAAGAATCTCATTAAGAAGCGTCAAAGCATGAAAGTCTCAAGTACAACAGACAAAATAGAACTGGCAGAGCTTTAGAAGTTGATTAATAGACGTAAGGTAAGCGATGTAAGAAGGTATAACATGGAGAGAATTGAACACGCTCTGAAAAACGGAGGAAGCGTCAAAGCAGTGAAGAGGAAACTTGGGATAGGCAAAAATCGCATGTATGTACTAAGGGACAAAGAAGGCAAAATATCTATCAATATGGATAGGATAGTTAAAATAGCCGAGGAGTTTTACAGAGCTTTGTACAGTATCCAGGACAACCACGACCTTAATACTATAAGAACTAGCGCTAACCCAGATGACACCCCACCAGTAATGATAGAAGAAGTCAGAAGAGCTTTGGAGAGCATACAAAGAGGCAAAGCTGCTGGTGAGGATCAGGTAACATCAGATCTGCTGAAAGATGGAGGACAGATTGTGTTAGAAAAACTAGCCACCCTGTTTACGAGGTGTCTCCTGACGGGAAGAGTACCAGAGTCTTGGATGAACGCTAACATCATCTTAATACAAAAGAAAGGAGGCGACAAGGACTTGGAGAATTACAGGCCGATCAGCTTGCTCTCTGTAGTATATAAGCTATATACAAAAGTAATTGCTAACAGAGTAAAGAAAACATTAGAATTCAATCAACCAAAGAAACAAGCAGGATTTCAAACAGGCTACTCAATAATCGACCACATTCATACTATCAATCAGGTAATAGAGAAATGCTCAGAATATAACCAACCACTATACGTAGCCTTCATAGATTACGAGAAGGCGTTTGATTCAGTAGAAATATCAGTCATGCAGACACTGCGGAATAAGGGCGTCGAAGTATATATAAACATTCTGGAAGAAATCTACAGGGGATCAACTGCTACCATAGTGCTTCATAAAGAAAGCAACAGAATACGAATCAAGAAAGGTGTAAGGCAGGGGGACATAATCTCCCCAATGCTATTTACCGCGTGCTTACAGGAGGTTTTCAGAAGCCTAGAATGGGAACAGTTAGAGATAAGAGTTAATGGAGAGTACCTTAGTAACCTGCGCTTCGCCGATGACATTGCATTGCTGAGTAACTCAGGGGACGAATTGCAACTCATTATTACGGAGTTAGACAAGGAGAGCAGAAGGTGGGTCTTAAAAAGAATCTGCAGGAAAACGAAAGTAATGTACAACAACCTCGGAAAAAAGCAGCGCTTCTAGATAGATAATAGTGCACTTCAAGTTGTAAAAGACTATGTCTACTTAGGGCAGGTAATAACCGCGGAGCCGAACCATGAGATCAAAGTAACTAGAAGAATAAAAATGGGGTGGAGCACATTTGGCAAGCACTCTCAAATTATGACAGGTAGATTGCCACTATCTCTCAAGAGGAAGGTATAAACAGCTGTATCTTGCCGGTACTTAGCTACGGAGCAGAAACCGTGGAGACTTACAAAGAGGGTTCAGCTTAAATTGAGGACGACGCAGCGAGCAATGGAAAGAAAATGGTAGGTGTAACCTTAAGAGACAAGAAGAGAGCAGAGTGGATTCGGGAACAGACGGGGGTTAAAAATATCATAGTTGAAATCAGAAGAGGAACTGGACATGGGCCGGGCATGTAGCGCGTAGACAGGATAACCGCTGGTCATTAAGGGTAACTAACTGGATTCCTAGAGAAGGCAAGCGGGTTAGGGGGGAAACAGAAGGTTAGGTGGGCAGATGAGATTAAGAAGTTTGCGGGTATAAATCGGCAGCAGCAAGCACAGGACCGGGTTAACTGGCGGAACATGGGAGAGGCCTTTGTCCTGCAGTGGACATAGACAGGCTGATGATGATGATGACATGTCTGTTTTCCCCACTAGTGGTGATAGGGTCCTGTGTAGATGTTCAGATAGCATGCGAAGTTCGGTAGTCAACTATCGGGCGTAGCAGTATTCCCGGTTTGTGGATCTTAGGAAGGACGTAGAATCCCGGCGCTGAACCGTTTCTGCATATGGGGCGCAAGTAAAGCGTTCTTGATTCT